CCATGCAGTGTGTTTGGTTGCTCTTCGGCTAACCTCGTAAACTTTTACATTTTCATAAAGCTATTTTAGTATGCTTAACATGTTTTTTTTTTTGTTTCTAAATTTATTTATATATTTTATATTGATATTATTTCAGTTTATCAAATCTTTTAATATACTATTCTTATATTATTATAAGAGTTCTAGCCAGAAGAGCAGTAAGATCAAATAAAAATAATGTAATATATTCTATCTGCATTCCTATGCAAAATAACAAAAAAAAAAAATCACTTTACATCCTCTGTGCAAAAGAAATTCACCAAAACCCGTGCATTGTTTCTTGACATTCTTATTTGAGTACTGCAGTGTAATACCTACTTGGCGAGACACTTAGCCATCTGCAGCAGCTCAAATGTTGCTGTAAAATGCGGATATTCAATACTTCAAGATTTCTTACCTGGAATATCTTGGACCTGGTCTACGTCCACCACCACCACGTCTACTTCTTCCAGAGGACATCTCTACCCTAACCCTGGTTCCACAACAACGTCTAAAAAATGACGGAAAAATAAAATTTTTTATATTTAATATTAAAATTATTTATAAAAAATGAATTATTGCACACATTCTATATAACACATACGTTCCATCTAATCCTCTGACTGCATCTTCTGCATCACGTGGATCTTCAAATTCCACAAATGCAAATCCAGGTGGATTTCTGGCAACCCACACATTTCGAAGGGGCCCATATTTACTGAATGCGCTTTCGATTTCATGTTTACTGGCACTATTTCCTAGATTACCGACGTATACTTTACATGAAAGATCCCATTCACGATAACGTGACATTTTGTCTGTAAATAACAATTATTTTGGTTAATATAATAAAATATCGATATAAATTGGCATAGATCACATGTATTTCAAGCATATAAATGTTTAATATGAATAGATACTATGTCCTTGATAGATGTATTACCGAGTATAATAGTCAATGAGAATAAATCAACACTCAATGTCAGTTTACCTATTCTAAAAAGATATCGACCGGCGACAGAAATAATATAGTACTAACAACGTTTATAATTTATATTTTATTATAATAATAGTAATATGTACTTTATGGATCTCTTTTATAACTAGATTAATCTTATATAATAAGCTTAATAATCTACAGTCAATTTAGTCAAAAAACTTAGTAGATCATACTGAAAAGGGAAAGTTGGTATACCGCCATGTTGTGTTCCCAATTTACTGCAGTAACGAGAAATAATTATTCCAATTTGAATATTTGAATGTAAAGTCAAAACACAGATCTTTTGAATTATTTAAGATATTACTTTTATATATAGTAATTACTTTGTTTTAAATTTTGTTTATATATATAACCAAATATAACGACGGATTAGAATCTGTCCGAACAGAAACCGATGCCGTGAAAATTTTAAAGCATTTTCTCTATTGGCTCATAATATTTTTAAAAATATGTAAAAGTAAATAAATGTATATCTATTTTTACTAAAATAGTATATCTTACTTACATTTTAAGTGTGTAAATTTATTAAACGAATTTGATAGGCTTGTAACGCACACAACCAACCTCTCGAACTGCACAAGTAGAAATGCCCACAAAATGGTGGCGTATGTAGCGTTAATCTTATTCCGTGGCCTCCTTTCTAAGATGGCATTGGTGTATGTATATTACTTTCTGCTGTCTAGTCAAAAGAAAGTTTAATGTAACTATAATGTTATATCTATATTTAACATTAACATTTGTTATATTCATGTAATCTTATATCCAAAATAATTTGTTTTAATATTTACATTATTACTGTAGGACTAAAACATTTTTTTTAATTTGAATTATAAATTAATTGTATCGTATATAAAATTAATACATTGGACTGTAATAGCATTTTATTAAAAATATTTGTAATTCATTATTTAAGAAACAAGTTGTATTAAGTAATTTTTTTATGGAAATCGATAAATACTCTTTATTGACTCACATTGTATATACAGTATAATAAACATGTTCTCATGTACTTTACTGCTATGATAAATTAATAATTTAGACAATAATGTATAAAAATAATAATTTAGCTATAGCAAATATAAAAATTTTATTTTTTACGTGATTTAAATTATAAAAAATTTAATTATATACAACTCTATGGAGAAATTTACAAATACAATACAATTTAGAATACAATATTGGTTTAATAAATTTTATATTAATGGACAAGTCTTTTGTAATCAATTTTTTCAAGTTGTACTAAGGGTTTTAATTGTTCTGCAAAAATTCTCATATCTTCTGCTATTGCATCTTGACCACTAGGTGCTAAAACACTCAATTCTACTAAATAACTTTGAGATATTGCTTCCATACTTTCAGGTATTTTTCCTTGCTGACCCATTTTAAATATCTTGGAAACTGTAACTTTCATTCTTCCCTTACGAAACATATAACCACGTGCAATGTACTCAAAATCTAGCCTACATCCAAGTTCTGTTAAAAAATCAACAACTGTGTTACTAGTTGCTATATCTAAACTGCTTCTAACAATTGTGGGTCGTGATTTGTCACCCAATTCAGGTTGACCAATATAACGTAATTGCCAAGGCATATCTTGATAATCTAAAGCTCTTCTTACACGTAGAAGTAATGGCTGTTCTGATCCTCTAAAACATAAAATATTAAATAATTAAATAAACTTATAAGTAGTGGGATACTTTTAATAATGTTTGCAAAATTATTTTACATACCTAATGCTAAAACACATTTCATGATCATTAAAAGTTTCTGGTCCAGTATCTACATTATCACATAAACCACGTAATCTATGAAGCAATACTTCTACAGCACTATCCAACACTGATCCTTGTAATAAGTATTCTTGATTTGGAATTATATTAGATCTAATTGCAGCTGTCAAACTATCCATTGCTGTACTTATTGGTGTACTCATTTTTAAGGTTATAGTTTTCTGCAATGATATAAATCTTTTCTATTTAAGAAATGACAAAATATTTGACAGACGTTTACTTTTATAGGTTAATACATGCCTTTAATACTTATAATGTTTTTAATATGATTATAAATTTATCTCATGCAGCATTTGATGTGATTTTTGAATCATTAACAGTTAACTTCATATAGAATTGCAACTATATATATGTAAATAGAAAAATTGTTTCATTTCCAATGGCATGTGTAAGAATAGTTTATATTAAAACTTTTTACATTTTTACATATTTAATATCCTCACTTATCTCATTATTTTACACGTAATTCATTATCTTTAAACTTTTGTAATAACATAAATTTCTTAAGTATTAATTTAATATTATTATCATACACGAATACGGTAAAAAATAAAGAATAAACAAAGCCAATTATTTAAATTTATATTACAATAAAATTCTTATTAAAAAATGTGTGTTGACGGAAAATGTTAATAGTTACAAATTAAAATATGAAAGTAAAATTATAAAATACATTTTTGTAAGTAACATAAAATATATGTGAAATATCGATAAACAAAATATTAATATAATTAAAAGAAATTCATTTATTAATGTATTTACAAATTTGGTTTGCCGTTTTAAAATGAACAATATGTGCACATATTTAAATAGCCGGCTACACAGTGAACATTTTACGCAGGACACATGCCACGTTTGTTGCTTCTGCTAATGAATAGATAAGCTTCAGAGCGCAAGCGCAAAACGAAATTTACAACATGGCGGAACGTAGGAAAAGCAAGAAGCGCAAAGATGTAAGCATCACATATGGCTGCAATTATTACAATATTATTCAGCAGTACATATAAATTGTGGTGATTTCTTTGTGACCGGAAGTACAGTGTTCAGTTTTATTTTATCTTCAGTTTGTTTTATTACTTCAAAGCACGTGTCAATATGAATAAGAGTTGCAACATAGTCCAACGAATGACGTAGCAAACACAACTCATTTTCACCATTCAGAATTTGTGAATTAATTTTAATTATATGTTTAGTTTATTATTAAATATAATTCTTTATCTCGTTGTTTATGTGTTCTCATGTTTATGTTGAATGATTTTTTTTCACCTTTAGCAATTGTTTTAATTGTATTTCAATGTATTTCGGATCACTAATTGTACCGTCTAAGCTATTACTATTTTGCTTTTTATGTTATATACAAAAATTACAATTAAATTAAACATATTTCATAATAAAAGAAAATATATTTTTAATCTCTAATAAAAATATTTATATTAATTCTTACATTTGATATGTGTTATTATGATTGTAGAATGTTATGGAAATGTCAAAAATTAAGATATAACCTTTTGTAGCAGGAAGTATCATATCACGTAAATAATGAAGTTATTCAAGAAAAACCAGCTAAAGAAGAATATGAAGTAGCTAAATGGATTCGTAAGAATGTACCAACAAAAAAAACAAAATTTGATAGAAATCACACTGTTGAATACTTCACTGGCACTCGTGCAGTGGATGCTTTATTGGAAAACTCACCATGGAGTGATTATAGATTTGAGACACGTGAACAGGTTACACTATTTCTTGATTTGATGTTAAGACATAAATTCTTTCATCGAGCTAAAAAAGTAGTAATTTCTGAGGAAGAATTATGTAAAATACGTGGAGTAAAAAAAAAAGTTAAAGAAACAAAAAAAGAAAAGAAATCTACTGAGAAAGAGAAGGAAGAATCTAAAGAAAACAAAGATGCTACAAGCGAAAAAGAAAACGAAGATAAAATTGAAGAAAAAAAGAAAAAACCAAAAGTGAGTTTTGATTTATGTAATAGTTCATTTATTTAATGATTATATATATATATATATATATATATTATTGAAAGTCTTAGTGTTGAAAGGGATAAAATAACTGAATGACTGAAAAGAATTTAATTGATTTAGGTACGTTTAGAAATGCATATGGAACAGTATTTTGTTGACTGCAATGATGCTTATGTTTGGATATATGAGCCAATTCCCATATATTACTGGTTCTTTGGAACACTTGTAGTTTTGGGTGCAATTGGTGTTTGTCTTTTCCCATTGTGGCCATTGACAATCCGTCATGGTGTATATTATACAAGCATTGCAGCTGCTGGATTTCTTACATCCATTTTGGCATTAATAATTATTAGAATAATTTTATTTTGCGTTTTGTGGGTGCCAACCCTTGGCAGATGTCATCTTTGGATTTTGCCTAATTTAACTGCAGATGTTGGATTCTTGGCTTCATTCTGGCCACCTTATCAAGTGTGTATCATTTATTAATCATGTATTATCTAATAAATGTATTATATGTATAAATTTATTTATAGTATGAATACTATGGTCCCATATCTGAAAGCGATAAAAAAGTTAGTAAAAAGAAGAAAAAAAAAGAAAAAGATTCAGATACTGAAGAAACATTATCATCACAATTGTAAGTTAAAATGTTATAATAATATAATTAATTATTATTAGTTACGATTAAATTTATTAAATATTTTAACTTTATAAGATACTTATTGTTAACACTGTTCATATTTACATTTTTTTTTTTATAGAGAAGAAAAACCAAGCATCAAAGAAATATCTAAAGAACATACTCAAATTGAAGAAATATCATCTAGTGAAGAAAACAAGCTTCCTTCGTCAGAATTGATAGATGGTGAAGAGACATTAGAAGATACCGAAGAAACATCATCACAATTGTAAGTTAAAATGTTATAGTAATATAATTAATTATTATTAGTTACGATTAAATCTATTAAATATTTTAACTTTATGAGATACTTATTGTTAACACTGTATTCATATTTACGTTTTTTTTTATAGAGAAGAAAAACCAAGCATCAAAGAAATATCTAAGGAACATACTCAAATTGAAGAAATATCATCTAGTGAAGAAAACAAGCTTCCTTCATCTGAATTGATAAATGGTGAAGAGGGTAGTGAAAGTTCAGAAAGTGAAAAATCTAATACGGGTCGAGATTTTGTTATGGTTTAAATTGAGATTGGCAATAAATAGTTTTTGTTTATCTTTAATAACTGTCACATTAATCAATGGTTGAATCATGTCAATTCTATTTAAATGGCAACGGTAAATTCATACATATGTATTTATGTATAATTGTTATTTTTTGAAAGTATGTGTGGTTTATTTCTCCAGAAAAAAAAGATCTGATCCTTAATATCACTCAAAATAAAAAAAGGAAAATGTAGTGTAAACAAAAATACGTTACATAAATTTAACGAATTCAATACATTTATTGCTTAACCAATATCTTTGCATTTTTTGCATTTAAAATATTATAGCCATTGAACAAGGAAATTGTATCTATATTTTACACAAATGAAATTTTTGTAAATTGTAATGTAAGTGAACCAGTCGTGAGCTTCCGTTTAAATATGTATTTTTATTTAAATTATAATTCACCAACATTTATTTATACGTGTATATTTTACTTACAAACACTATTTTAAAAAACGTATATTTACGTTAATATAGGTGCCTGAGATTTCTCTAAATCAATTAAATAAATATTTTTAATATGTTATATTATAAAATACAGTATTACCAAGAATAACAGAGAGTGTCACGTTTTAGTAATACAATTTTATCAGATTCAAAAACCGTACAGTGCTCGATAAAGCTTGATAAATTGACTATAAAATTATTTTAAAAAATTATTTATCAGTTACACTGCCTACAAATTTGTCTTTAGCAGAGCCAAGACTTAATGTTTCACAGGTTTCATATAACAAATTGTAATTTATATTTTTATGTAAAAATTCCAATGATAATAATTATTATTGCTATTATTATTGTAATTATTATTATGTTATTATAGAATAATTATTTTGATCATTATAGGTACACGAATCATGATTCTAGCCATATCGAAGTAGATGGTGAGAAGAACATGTGAAATATATATATTTCAAAAAGAAAAAAATATTAAAAAAACATGAGAAGTATATGCAATATAGCTCATACCTTTTTGGTTCAATGAGTGTATCATATACATTTAATACCGCTAATTAACAAGGTTTAAGTAATTTATATTAAAACTTCAATACTTATACATGTATAAGGATCTGCTTTAAGTGTATAATATTAATAACACTATTTTCAGGTCATCCTTTGCAGCCAATTTTATTATTAAAATAAAATATATTTAAGTTATTTTTATAGCTTGTAACTTGTCCAGTCGCAACACATGTGGTTTCACTAACTTTGCCTAAATTGGCAGACTACAAATTTTGCATTCTGTTAATGAAACAATAAGAATTCAGTACTTTCTTTAATAATTTGTAAAGATTTAATATATTTTTCGAAAATATTTACCAAATTATTTTTTAATAAGTTTAAGTTGTTTTTGATATACTTTTAGCTAATAAAAAAAATTAAAATACTTTTAAATTATTTTTTAATTTTGTTTTATTTATATGCAAAAATATCATTTTGTACAATCGTTTATATTATATAACAATAGATAGTTTCTACAGTCTAGGGTTATGTATCGTAATTCTAAATTATTAATAACTTTAAAGCAAATATATCTATTACAAAATTATTCGAAGTTTTTGTTGAAATATTTTTCAATTATCACTGATAGATACTATTCAAGAAACTTGCTTCTATTCACTGTTTTATCACAAATTAATTACGTTAAATTATAGTATTTTTGGAATATTGTGGAGTTAGTACTTGCTTTACGTATTATGAAAAAGCATTCTGTAAGCATGTATGATTTTATTCAATGCTTCTTCTATAATGTTTTACACATTGTTAGGTATGATGACTTATCAAAGATAAAATTGCATAGATACGATACTTTGAAACTAATATATGATCGCATTACGTTACGTTCATTGATCTAGGCATAGAGGGAGCAACTCTAAAAGAACTAAACTGAAAAATGATCCTTGGCAAAGAGATTGAATGATCGTTTTGTTTCTCGTAATCATGTTAATCGGTATTTAACATCACACTTTTTACAAAGCTCGTAAATTTACTGTTAAGGCTGTTTAAACGTGTGTTTCGGTTTTCAATCGTCGCTTATACGTGCATTTATACATCGTAACTAGCAAACATTTCGAATATTCAACGTAAACGTAAATTTGTTCTTTCTTTTCATTTTAATTTAGTCGAATCACGTTTAGATCCGTTTACCGGTCTAACGTTTCATTCAATGAAATTCAATTAATTTGTGCAAACGAGCCACTTAGTTAAAGGCAAACTTTTCACTTGGAAGAAACACACCAGGCATGTGTATGTGTATTTTTCTGTTGGCGGAGTGGCGATTCGTAGGCTGGTTGGTCGCGAAGCGAAGGGCCGCGTCACGAAGGCAAAGTTAACGGCCCATAATTCATAGCCGACATATAATAAATATCGTTACTCCATCGTAAGCGCACGCAGACATGCGCATTGCGGTCTTATGTGCACGTACCCTTCGTATAATACGTATGTAAAGATGTAAATGTTTCACGACTCCATATAGGCTTTCCCTGAGATTACGTGGTGAGCTTTCGTCCTTGGCAGAGGTAATAAAAGTTTCCTTTAACAATGCACTCACGCGCAGAATAAAATAATAGTCGCTCCTTTTGGACGCTTCTTTACCCTTTTACCGTATACCGTAAATATACAGATGTTTTTTCAAATTCGGGGTCACGGAAAACTGTTCATTGGATCGTAGTTCGAACGTATTGGTTTTATATTCGTTAGCTCATTTATCGTTTAAACGTGTCTACCATTTTTCAGCTGACGTATTTATGAAAATTATACCTGGTAAATGACTGTACGTTTACATTAATTTTACGTAATTGCTGTTATGAATTATTTATTCATTTCGACAGAAACTTACGTCCAATAAATGATACATGTATTTAAATGGCATATACATTTTTCAGATTTTCTTAATCGTGTAAACAATACACACGTTTAAATACATTTACACCTATGTCTGTTTATATTTTGTATTATTCATTCCTTCCATAAATTCGTTTCTGTTGTATCCTTTCGTTGCATTAATTTATTTTTTCCGAAATAATACGAGAGTCATTATAACAGTAATTTAGAGGCATATTATTGTTGAATTGATTTAAACAAGGTTATATCAAATATACATACGTGTAAATGACTAACGGTAGAAGCAAAACAATTTTAAATACCAGCATTTTTAGAGTCTTCCATAACTCTGGGTCATTGAACTTACGAAACAATATTATATCCCTGAGTTAGACGTTTACTTTTTCGTTTTCTCCGACATATTCGCGTCGCGCATTCTACATACACATACCTATATAAAACATGTATAAATATCTGTCACTTTTCATCTTTTTCATACGATCTATAAAACTATCGCTTTAATTATTAATTAAAATTTCTTTAATTTATGTCTCTTAAATATATATTCATTAAAAAAAACATTATAATTTTGTAAATATATTCTTCTATATTTTTTATATATTTATTATTTACTATATTTACTATGTATTTATTTAATAACTATATTAATACGTTATATATATTTAAAACATACAAAGAATATATCGATATAATATAGATATACTAAATATTTTTGATTTTCTTGTTACAGATGCAATTAAAATGGACGTAGCAAATTACATCGATAATATACATGCAGTATAAATTTGTTGTCGCTGAGTATATACAATTTGGTCTCACAAATAGGTTATCAACATGCAAATGTATTATATATTTATATAGAAAATCATGTTACATGTTTATATTCTTAACATGCGTAAATAATCGACAAGCTTCTGTTTCACCAAACTGATAATTTTCAGGTGCCTGTTTCTCCTATCAATAGATATTTCGCATTCATCGTAACGATCGTCTGAAAGAGCGAGTTCCAAAGAAACTGCAAATATGCTTGTAAACTCCCATTCGTGGTGGAGTATGAAAACGGGATAAAAAAAATCATACGCGCTGAGGAGCCCAAAATAAGGTGAATAAAAAATACCTTGCATGGCCGACCACCGCGGTTTGCGGTTACAATGTGCAACGAAAAAAGAATTCTTCGTTTCGTCTCTTTCTCTCTCCTCTCTTCGTCAGGCTTGCCTCGGTCCTCTTGGTGCCCCGTCCTTCTCTCCGTTCTTCGTTCGTGAGACTTTCAGCGTGTGTAGACAGCCGGATTTATATTCAAATGAATCGCCGTGGAAGGGTCGACTTATCAACGTATCAAACCCGACGAGGCGAAGAATAGACAAGGGGTGAGTTGCGAAAGAATGTTTGCTTCTTGATCGATCACAGGTATCGCTCGAGAGAATTGTTATTAATTATCCCAGGAACTTGACAATTAATTTCGGAATATAAAATACGCCTCGTAATCGGGCCTGCGACAGAAGGGGCCAATCCTCGTTCGTCCATGTCACTATCAGACCGTTTATTCGCAAGGGTAAGTGTTAAAAATGGACGATTGAATTAATGGAAAAATGATCGTGCAGCGTGTATTTTCCATATCCCTAAGTAAGAAGGAATTACGGTTAATTTATGATTTTTCTTTCGCAGTTTCCTTTTGGACCGAAACGGCTCTCAGGATGCACGAGGGGAACACTGTGATTAATACGCGCAGGTTTATACACATTCGGAACAACGTACGGCAATTATGCAGATAGATGCCCGATAATGACGACTGCTGTTTTTTAAATATTACGCGGGAAATAATGATCGTTCCGCGAGCAAGCTCCAAAAGTTTTTCGAGGGCGCAATTATCGGTAGAACGATTTCCTTCGTTCGCGCCGCTACATGACTTTATTTAGCTTTAGTTTGTTGAAACCGGTTGCAAGCGACTTCTCTCCTCTCTTACTGCAATACCGAGAGTTCGGTGCTCCGCATCATTTAGGGTTCCTCGGGTGGAGGAAGGAATTTCGCGTTCACCACGCTCGACAGCTTCTTTCGCATAGAGGTAATCCTTGGTACAGAGGCTTTCGAACGATTTGGTATTACATACTTCAATTTATCGAGCGTCTGCTAATTTATAGAACGAACTTTTTCCCGTATGAGCCTCATTTTTTTG